AATAGAGATGTAAATAACAGGGTGAGAAAGGGGTAAATCTGAAAACGTGGTAAAAATCAGGGCTTTCTTTTCTGGTCTGCATATTAAAACACTGCGGTTGGGTTTATGGAAGGCGGTGGGTGAGTCAATTGGTGCTTTTTAAGACACTATTGGTTGGGTTTAGGGAAGGGGGATGGTGGGGGAATCGGTCAGTTGGGCAGTCAGTTAGTCAACAGCGGCCTCTGGTGGATTTATGTGAGAACAGCAGGCGCGAATGGCACTCACGAGAGAAATTGGAAATCTCAAAAAGCGTACACTGTGGCCTCTGGTGGATTCTTGAAAACAAAAAACTACAAAAGAAGCACCTCCTGGGACATATTTGGCACATTCTATAAATGAATATAGGGGTATGTAATCAGAATGAGCCTGGGTTGCATGTAGTCTATGAACGTCACTTATAGTCAAGGTATATACTAAGGTATGGAGGGCTGCAGCTCCGCACAGTTTTGCTCCAACCTTATTCAATTAGCTAATCAAACTAATCAAGACTAGAGACTTAAGCAGGTGTGAGATGGAGGTGGTTGGAGATACAAACTGCAGAGCTGCGACAATCCAGGAATTGAGTTTGAGACCACTGGATTACAATGTCGTGACTGACCAGTCAGAACCCAAAGTATTCCAGACTGTCGTGTAATATCTGGGAATAACATACCTTGATCAATCAGAATTAAGGAGCTATTGCAGAGAGCAGTGTAATATAATTCTACAGATACAACTAAATGCTCCTGCAAAGCCTGATGTGTTTGACACAAAAGGCTATAATGTGCATCTGGAAAGTATTCGCTTCACTTTTTCCACATTTTTTATGTTACAGCCTTATTCCAAAATGAATTGAATTGATTTATTTCCTCAAAATTCTACACACAATACTGTCATGACTGTGTTTGTCCACCAGATGCCACTGTTATTCGCCAGCAACCACCAGCGGACTGGAGCCAGCAGAGCAAGGAGCCCGAGCGAGGAAACTTAGACTAAACTTTAACACTAAGACAAGATACAATAGCAAGAGCAAGATCAAGATCAGGAACAACATACCAACAATGACAACGACCAACTGACAAACAGAGGATGAATGACTGAATATATAGTCCAGGTAATCAACGGAGAACGGAGACAGCTGTGGTTGTAAATCAGTGTAGATGACAGACCGGGTGTGTGTGCGAAAGAATGTATGGAAATGTAGTCTTAAAAGCCACTGTAGTCCGCTGGTGGTTGCTGGCGAATAACAGTGGCATCTGGTGGACAAACACAGTCATAACACAATACCCCATAATGACAATGCTAAATTTTGTTTTTGAAATTGTTGCAAATCTATTAAAAATAAAAAATCTATAAAAAAAAAAACACATACACACATATGTACATCAGTATTCACAGCCTTTGCTCAATACTTTGTTTATACACCTGGCAGCAATTACAGCCTCAAGTCTTTTTGAATATGATGCCACAAGCTTGGCACACCTATCTTTGGGAATTTTTGCCCATTCCTCTTTGCAGTGCCTCTCAAACTCTATCAGGTTGGATGGGAAGCGACAGTGTCCAGCCATTTTCAGATCTCTCCAGAGATGTTCAATAGGATTTGGTTCTGGGCCACTCAAGGACATTCACTGAGCTGTTGCGAAGCCACTACATTGATATTTTGGCAGTGTGCTTTGTGTCATTGTCCTCATCAGACCAGAGAATTTTGTTTCTTATGGTCTGAGAGTCTTTCAGATGCCTTTTTGCAAATTCCAGGTGGGAAGTGGCTTCCGTCTGGCCACTCTACCATACAGGCCTGATTGGTGGATTGCTGCACAGATGGTTTTCCTTCTGTAAGGGTCTCCTCTCTCCACAGAAGATCACTGGAGTTTGACAGAATAACCATCAGGTTATTGATCACCTCACTGACTAAGGCCCTTCTCCCCTGATCACTCAGCTTAGATGGCCGGCCAGTTCTAGGAAGAGTCCTGGGGGTTCCAAACATCTCCCACTTACTGATGATGGAGTCCGCAGTGCTCACTGAAACTTTCAGAGCAGCAGAAATGTTTCTTTAACCTTCCCCAGCCTTTTGCCTTGAGACAATCCTGTCTCAGATGTCTACAGACAATTCCTTTGTCTTCATGCTTGGTTTGTGCTTTGCCATGCACTGTCAACCCTGGGACCTTATATAGACAGGTGTATGCCTTTTCAAATCATGTCCAATCAACTGAATTTACCACAGATGAACTCCAATTAAACTTCTCAAGATTGATCAGTGGAAACAGAATGTACCTAAACTCAATTTAGAGCTTCACGGCAAAGGCTGTCAATACTTCTGTATATATGATTTTTCTTTTTTAATAAATTTGCAACAATTTCAAAAACTCTAACATAGGCGGTAACATAAATATGTGGAAAAAGTTAAGTGCTATGAATACTTTCCGGATGCACTGTATCTAGGATATAATTTGTTTTTCTGCTTAATAAAAGTCAGTAAATATTTCAGATTTCAAAAATACATGCACATCATAACCTGTAGATGTTTTTAGAATAAAATGCCTTTTATTTGATAAAAGAATAAACACAAAAAGTATCAATCAGACTACAGTGATAATAATTTAGTGATAATTTGAGGTTTACGGCAATGTTTTGATCATGTTAATACATTTAAAGACATTAAAGGTTTGTGCAATCCATGTTAATTTAATGTGGTATCATTTGTAATGTCTTTATAATTCTCTTTTTTATTTAAAGCTATGCAAATTGCCACTTACTCTTTTAAAGGTGCCATAGAACGCTTAGATACAATATGTTTACATTGTTCTCTCATATCAACATAGATTCATTCATTCATTTTCTCTACGGCTTAGTCCCTTTATTAATCTGGGGTCGCCACGGCGGAATGAACCACCAATTTATCCAGCATATGTTTTACGCAGCGGATGCCCTTCCAGCTGCAACCCATCTCTGGGAAAGGTACATTGATTAGGTAAGTGCAAAAAATCTTTTACAATCCCATTTATAATCATAAAAATTGGCCTTAGATTTAAAGTGCAATGTTTTCAGCTTATTTGGAAGAGTCATGAATATTAATCTCATGTCTCTAATACGCACACAACACTCTGAAATACATATGTGCAAAATAAAACTCAAGTTGTCAAAACATATTTATGAACAAACTGAGTAGGTGCATAAGTGTGCATTAAATGCTACTATTCAGGAACTGACATGTGTACACTCACCGGCCACTTTATTAGGTACACCTTACTTGTACCAGGTTGGACCTCCTTTTGCCTTCAGAACTGCCTTAATCTTTCATGGCATAGATTCAACAAGATACTGGAAATATTCCTCAGAGATTTTGATCCATGCTGACATGATAGCATCACGCAGTTGCTGCAGATTTGTTGGCTGCACATCCATGATGCAAATATCCCATTCCACTACATCCCAAAGGTGCTCTATTGGATTGAGTTCTGGTGACTGTGGAGGCCATTTGAGTACAGTGAAGTCATTGTCATTGTCTGTGATCATTCGCTCGTTATCCTGCAGGAAGTAGCCATCAGATGATGGGTACACTGTGGTCATAAAGGGATGGACATAGTCAGCAACAATACTCCGGTAGGCTGTGGCTTTGATATAATGCTCAATTGGTACAAATGGGCCCAAAGTGTGCCAAGAAAATATTCCCCACACCATTACACCACCACCAGCAGCCTGAACTGTTGATATAAGCCAGGATGGATCAATAATTTCATGTTGTTGATGTCAAATTCTGAACCTACCCTCTGAGTGTTGCAACAGAAATCAAGACTCATCAGACCAGGCAACGTTTTTCCAATCCTCTATTATCAAATTTAGATGCGCCTGTGCGAATTGTAGCCTCAGTTTCCTGTTCCCAGTTGACAGGAGTGGCTCCCGGTGTGGTCTTCTGCTGCTGTAGCCCATCCGCCTCAAGGTTAGACATGTTGTGTGTTCAGAGTTTCTGCTCTTCTGCATACCCCGGTTGTGTCGAGTAGTTGTTTGAGTTACTGTTGCCTTTTTATCAACTGGAACCAGTCTGGCCATTCTCCTCTGACCTGTGGCATCAAGGCATTTGCGCCCACAGAACTGCCGCTCACTGGATATTTTCTTTATTTCAGACCATTCTCTGTAAACCCTAGAGATGGTTGTGCGTAAAAAATCCCAGTTGATCAGCGGTTTCTGAAATACTCAGACAAGCTTGTCTGGCACCATCAACTATGCCACATTCAAAGTCACTTAAATCACCTTTCCTCCCTATTCTAATACTCGGTTTGAACTGCAGCAGATCGTCTTGACCATGTCTACATGCCTAAATGCATTGATTGGCTGATTCGAAATTTGCTTTAACGAGCAGTTGGACAGGTGTACCTAATAAAATGGCCGGTGTGTGTATGTTGCCTCATTACAAACATGCACACGTCCGCTGCCTCATTATAAAGTACTTGTCAAATTTGACAATATACACACTAAACTAACAAAAGATATAGTTAAACAGACCTTAATCCTCTTCATTGTGACAGTGAATAAACATAATCCATCCATTCCAATATTTTGTATTCTGACAAGCTGTAAAAAGACAAGCTTGTCTCGTTTTCAAAATAAGAGCCCCACATACATAGCAAATATGATAATACTAATGTAAAATCAAGGTGAAACAGGCCAATCAAATCCTGCTGGGGTAGTGCATATTAATGATCCTGTGTGGATTGTCACAGACAGTATTTTGTTCTGATTGGCTTGTTTTTCCACTTGAGTTTTAAACTTACTTGATTTATATGAGATCAAGGAAACAATGGAGTTTGGGGCTCATGGTATGTCATTTATATGTACCAAACTCTTATTATTCTATACCTAGGTTTATCCAGATTTTCATTTTATGGCATCTTTTCCATTCAGAATTAGACACTGACATAAAGTCAATTTAATAAAGATTATTTAGAAGAACAAAAATAGAGCAATGAAGCCTAAAAGATAAAGATTTATGGATTTGGCATTTTGTAATCTGGGTCATGAGAGCCTTCGCGAATCCGTCCAAAGCAGCCCAGCAGCAGATCCACAGCAGCGTTTACTGTTGATTTGATCTCGTCCGCTGTTCTGCCCAGTTTGGGGTTCACTTCCACCATGTCTACAGCAGAGAGAAGCCCTGCAGTGAAGCCAAACACACAACAAAGTCTATAGGAGAATGGTCATCTAAAATTGATGATTGTAAATTTCTTTTTAATTTCAGTTTCTACACTTGAAGTTTACTGTCATGAGTAAAAAAACTTTTTCGACATGTTTCATAAGCTGCATCTATTCTGAAGTATTTATATTAATTGTATTAATTATTTAGGAAAATTAATAATGATCAACCTGAATAATTACTGATTATGGCTAGTGATGCCCTGTAAGACAATATTGATGTCCTGTTAATGACTATGTGCTCTAAGAGACTAGTGAAGTCCTGTGAGACCATATTGATATCCTGTTAAAGACTAATGATGTCCTGTTAGAGACTAGTGATGTCCTGTTAGAGAATATGTCCTGTGGGAGACTAGTAAAGTCCTGTGAGAGACTAGTGATGTCCTGTTAGAAACTAAGTCCTGTGAGAGACTAGTGATGTCCTGTGAGACAATATTAATGTCCTGTTAGAGACGGGTGATGCCCTGTGAGACAATTTTGGTGTCCTGTTAAAGACTAGTGATGTCCTGTAAGAGACTATGGCCTATGAGAGACTATTGAAGTCCTGTGAGACAATAATAATGTCCTGTGAGAAACTAGTGATGTCTTGTGAGACCATATAAATGTCCTGTTAAAAAACAGCTATGTCCTGTTAGAGACTAGTGATGTCCTGTTAGAGATTAGTGATGTCCTGTTAGAGACTAGTGATGTCCTGTTAGACACTAGTGATGTCCTGTTAGAGACTAGTGATGTCCTGTTAGAGATTAGTGATGTCCTGTTAGACACTAGTGATGTCCTGTTAGACACTAGTGATGTCCTGTTAGAGACTAGTGATGTCCTGTTAGACACTAGTGATGTCCTGTTAGAGACTAGTAATGTCCTGTTAGACACTAGTGATGTCCTGTTAGACACTAGTGATGTCCTGTTAGACACTAGTGATGTCCTATGAGAGACTAGTGATGTCCTGTGAGGGACCAGTGATGTTCTGTGAGACAATTTAAACAACCTGTTAGAGACTAGTGATGTTCTGTAAGACAATATTGATGTCCTGTTAGACATGTGATGTCCTGTGACAGACTAGTGATGTTCTGTGAGACAATATTGATGTCCTGTCAGAGATTAGTGATGTCCTGTGAGAGACTAGTGATGTCCTGTTAGACACTAGTAATGTCCTGTTAGAGACTAGTGATGTCCTGTAAGACAATATTGTTGTCCTGTTAGACATGTGATGTCCTGTGACAGACTAACGATGTTTTGTGAGAGACTAGTGATGTCCTGTGAGACAATTTAAACAACCTGTTAGAGACTAGTGATGTTCTGTAAGACAATATTGATGTCCTGTTAGACATGTGATGTCCTGTGACAGACTAGTGATGTTCTGTGAGACAATATTGATGTCCTGTCAGAGATTAGTGATGTCCTGTGAGAGACTAGTGATGTCCTGTTAGAGACTAGTGATGTCCTGTTAGAGACTATGTCCTACGAGATACTAGTGATGTCCTGTGAGAGACTAGTGATGTCCTGTTAGAGACTAGTGATGTCCTGTTAGAGACTAGTGATGTCCTGTTAGAGACTAGTGATGTCCTGTTAGAGACTAGTGAAGTCCTGTTAGAGACTAGTGATGTCCTGTTAGAGACTAGTGAAGTCCTGTTAGAGACTAGTGAAGTCCTGTTAGAGACTAGTGATGTCCTGTTAGAGACTAGTGAAGTCCTGTTAGAGACTAGTGATGTCCTGTTAGAGACTAGTGATGTCCTGTTAGACACTAGTGAAGTCCTGTTAGAGACTAGTGATGTCCTGTTAGAGACTAGTGATGTCCTGTTAGAGACTAGTGAAGTCCTGTTAGAGACTAGTGATGTCCTGTTAGACACTAGTGATGTCCTGTTAGAGACTAGTGATGTCCTGTTAGACACTAGTGATGTCCTGTTAGAGACTAGTGAAGTCCTGTTAGAGACTAGTGATGTCCTGTTAGAGACTAGTGAAGTCCTGTTAGAGACTAGTGAAGTCCTGTTAGAGACTAGTGATGTCCTGTTAGACACTAGTGATGTCCTGTTAGAGACTAGTGATGTCCTGTTAGACACTAGTGATGTCCTGTTAGAGACTAGTGATGTCCTGTTAGAGACTAGTGAAGTCCTGTTAGACACTAGTGATGTCCTGTTAGAGACTAGTGATGTCCTGTTAGACACTAGTGATGTCCTGTTAGAGACTAGTGATGTCCTGTTAGAGACTAGTGATGTCCTGTTAGAGACTAGTGATGTCCTGTTAGAGACTAGTGATGTCCTGTTAGAGACTAGTGATGTCCTGTTAGAGACTAGTGATGTCCTGTTAGAGACTAGTGATGTCCTGTTAGACACTAGTGATGTCCTGTTAGAGACTAGTGATGTCCTGTTAGAGACTAGTGAAGTCCTGTTAGACACTAGTGATGTCCTGTTAGAGACTAGTGATGTCCTGTTATAGACTGGTGTTGTCCTGTTAGAGACTAGTGGTGTCCTGTGAGACAATATTGATGTCCTTAGAAATGAGTGATGATGTGTGTTATGTTTTGCACAGCAGATGCTTGTCTAGCTGCCAATCCGGTACTAGGAAACACCCATACACACTCATTCACACATACACTATGACCAATTTATTTAATTCAGTTCACCTATAGCGGATGTCTTTGGACTGTGGGGGAAACTGGAGCACCCGGAGGAAATTGTATAATGACATTGGTATGACAATGATAAGGAGGTTTAGGAGGACATGCCTTCTGTCCTTGTAAAGCAAAACTCCTAAAAGTAGGGTGGCACAAGTGTATCACCATTTGAAGGGTCACGAAACACCAAAACACAATTTTTGAGCTGTTGACAGTCGTATATGTGTCCCACACTGCTAAAAACACTATTAGGACATCTATATTTCACTAAAAAGTGTAAATTGGTCGTTTTTGCGTTATTTCAAGCAAATTCGTACTTCCTGTTTGAAACTAATTTTTGAAGCTGCGTCACGGTCATGACATAATAGCCTGTATTCCAGCATGCAGACTGGGCGTCTGTGCCAGAGTGAGTCTTATTACGCCTTACAGTGTGTTGCATTAATGCATGAGTAAGGCTTGGTTCAAACCAATCAGCGCGCTCTATTGTGCAACTTCATTTATATTCATTACTGTCACAGTGTAGACGGCAAAGACGCCACGTTGTGTTGGCAAAACAAGCGTGAAGTGTTGCTTTTATAGTTTGCTGCAGTTAAGTTTCGTTTTCATTTTGTCTCTGTGAGAGCGCAGACTCACGCGTGGATTAACAGTGTACGCGACGCGCGACAACAATAATTTACGTGTCTAAGGAAGATTTTTGTTTACCTGAGAGCTGTTCTCATCTGCAAACGCTGAGATCCAGATTGTAGTCTCCTCTAAATAAAGACGCGGCTCTAGTTGCTGGTGATTGTCCTGTCTCTACAGATTTGGTAAGTGAGCGACCAGTGCTCTTTGTTTATTCAGTTCGTATTTTATTCGTATCACCGAGTGCAATAGTTAGCACTAACAGTTACAACCAAACTATAACCTAGTGTTGGATTTTGTGACCGGAATAACACACGCGGCTTTCTGACGCTACCTGCCGTGTGTATCTAAGTTTCCGGGAAATGCTGAGTTTTTTTTTCTCTCATTCGCCGTGCGGTATCAAACATTGCATGAAAAATACACGCTTAGAGCAGATCCTCGAATCAAATATCAAGTTTGTCGGGAGGGACATTAATGAATTCCCTGAATGAAAGAGCCAAACTGCAGTTAAAGTCCACCATTTAATAATTTGGCAAATAATTCGACTACAGATGTCCATGTAAACACAGTCACATTGTCCGCTGTGGGTGTGTGTTTTGACTCTGAAATTCAGCGCGCCCAAATAGACACTCCCATACCAAGCCGCTTTTCTTCCTCCGACACTCCCCCCTAAACAGAGCTGGACACGCCCACTTTTCTGACTTTTTCCAAAGTAGAGGTGTGAAAACACACTGCTGAAACGAGGGGGTTTCATGGCCCTTTAAGCTTCCCCTGCTGGTTGTTTCTCGACTCACACATCCTACTGTTCTGACCTGTTTGGCAGATGTGCTCAGTGATGTAAATGCCCTCTCTATAGGTCAGTCCTCCTGCTACAGGTGTGCCAGTCGCCGGTGACACTGACGGGTCCAGCGCATCAATGTCGAAACTCAGATGGATCGGCTTCTTCACTCTGATGCAAAAGAGCAGCAATGTTTCCTCAATAAACATTTACACTTACGAAGACATTCCAACAAATGCAAAAAAAGAGAATATTTGCATAATCACACACTTACTTTGAAAACATGTGATCACACGTCTGCTCCATGACTTTTGCTATTCCAAGTCGATCAACTTCAGTCATGGAGAAGGTTTTGATGCCCAGGTATTTAAGGATATAACTGTGGTGTAAAATCATTCAACTACATGAAAGGCAATCGAATAGTGATATAACACATATTTGATGCAAACTGTCTGCAAACTTACTGTTCTTCCGGGTCCACGTCTCGGAGTCCAATATACACAACATCCTGAGCTGCTATGCAAGGCTTTAGCCATGAGAAATTTGGAAGTTTGGGCATCTGAGGAAGATTAGAAAAGTTGCACAAAGCATTTTTGAAAATACATATAATCCACATTCAACAAAAATATAAACACAACCATTTTGTTTTCGCTTCCATATTTCATTAGGTAAATGCTAAAATGTAAACAAAAGGCTTATTTCTCTTAAATATTGTTCTGACATTTGTCTAAGGCAGGAGTGTCCAAAGCTTTTGTCTCAGTTTTATGTAGAGGAAAGGGGCAAGGACTCAAAGGCAGAACTAAATGGGTTTTTATTAATAGTAAAAATAAAAATAAACAGCAAAATAAACTACCAGGGGGGAAAACACTAGCAAAACAAATGAACAAACAAACAAACTTGACTGGGCAGGCTGGTAGGGATCAGGGCTGGAAAACACGACAGGACAGGGAGAGAAACGATGACATACGACAACGAACTGGCACAGGACAGCAGACATGAGGAGAATAAAAGCAGAAGTAAATTAACACAAACAGATGAACATAATTAACTAATAATATGTTAACAAGGAGGGTGGGACTAGACAAAAGACGGGAGAGCACATGACACAAAGAGACAACACAAGCCATGTGCTCACATAACTAGAACACAAAGCCAATGAGAGAACTCATTAACCGCGTGTTCGTATGACAAGACAAACACAACACTTAAGCACAAAACAAAAGCACGCAACCACAATGTAAACACAGAGCCACGTGCTTTTGATAACAGACGCAAGTCACAAGCACAGGATAGATGTAAACACCGAAAACCGAAACCAACTAGACGGAGACACTGAGAATGAAACAGCGCGATGCTGACAGAACAAAACACAAACACGAATACAAGAGCGCGTGTCCCAAGGGTGCGCAAACCCCGCACGCCCACATCAAGCGGGAGTGCGCACGGTCCGCGCACACCTACGACAACGTGCACCCTGAGACACACACAATGACAAAACAAGTGCTTTACCCAAGAAAACTGGACAGGACAAGACAGAGCTAGTGTCCGGACTCTGCCACCAAAACAAGAATTTTCAAGACCAGAGTTGCAGAACCCTGACAGCTTTTCCTATAAAGGGCCAAAAATCCAACTTGATTGAAGGCTGTGGGCCGAATCTATAGCAACCTGTATTACAATAAATTTGCCAAGGGGAATTTGCTAATTTATTCAATGACATAATAATATCAAAATATAATATAATAAAAGAAAAACTAAATTTTTTTGCTTTAAATCATATGAACTAACCCAGTATCAATTTAAACATTTAATAATACATTTTGTTATTGTAAAAACATGAACAATTCCATTTATAACAAAATGGAGTTCAACGCTGAACACACTAAACGAGCTGCTCCTGCCTTCAGCTTGACTTGCTCGCAGATGTCTTGTGCATTGTCTGTCATGTGACAGAATTGACATTTTAAATGTCTGATTCATTTACAACATTTAATTGAATCATTTCATTTCAGCTTTTTGTAGCTCAGCAATAAAACAAAGAAACAAAAGGTTACGTTAAATTTGAACTAACAATCTCTGTCAAAGGCATTCGCCCTAGCCACCTACCCATCATTCTCCCTTGTCTTTTCAGAAGAGACATTGCCAAATTAAAGGTTACCAAGGGCCAATTTCGGCCTGGGGCCCTACTTTGGGCATCTCTAGTCTAAGGCCATGTCCACACAAACACAGGTACTTTCAAATCTGCACATTTGTCTGCATGTTTTTCTTCTAAGCAGAGTATCAAGTTTCTAACACCAAACCTTTTCTGAAAACCAGTGTAGTAGATATTTATTATTATATTTCAGTGGATACATGTTTAGTTTGTGTGCTATAAATTGATTGTGATATTTTTATAAAACTGTTTTTTTTCTCTTTTGGTTGTGGGCTATATGTTGGTGGTGATAAAAAACTAGTGGTGAAAATATTTCAAAACGTACCCACATTTGGTTAATTTGTGTATATTGTTTTGTGTATTTTGCTTATGTTATCTGTAGTATAGATGCAGTCGGTGGCTTATAGCTACCTGGGTTAAAGTTGAATTTGTAATATTGATGGATTGATGGAACAAAAAAGTAAAACGTTACCCACCTGGGGTTCATGGTAGGGCCACCATCTTTATTAAAAACATGCACTTTTTAATAATTTTTCAAAACTTTTTAAACTTAAAAAAACTCCTTCCTGATCCCAATTGATGATGATTGATGATCACAGAGAGCTGAACAGATCTTTTAATGTAGGTTGTTTTGCACACACCCTGTTTTGTGATATGATTATAGCCATTACTATTGAGATATGTTAATACGCGGTTGTCAATTAATTCGGTGGCCGGGGAAACCGTACTCCTATGTCACATTGCGGTGGGCCTCAAAATGGGAGGGATTTGGATCTTATTTTAACGTCAGGAAATGTAAAAATGAGACTTAGGCCCAATCCCAATTCTACCCCTTATCCCTTCCCCTTATCCCTACCCCTCGTTTTGCGTGAAGGGGTAGGAGTGTCCCAATTCTCTTTAGCTTGAAGGCATAGGGCTAAGGGGAAGGGCTAGATAGCCCTTCAAACAGAGATTTTTCAAGACCACACTCGAAACCATGAGGTAAGAAAATTCCCAAGAATACACCAGCCACAATGGCAGTATTGCTGAACCCGGAAGTAAGGAAATCCACAAATTAGTATATTTTGTCATTATTATGGATTTTTACAACAAACAACCACATGTTTTAATACATTCATTACAGCATTGTTGTTTTACCGTCATGCTTTAAAAAAAAAACAGCTAAAATAAAAACAGCTAAATTTCGCAATCTATAATACATAGCTGTCAACCCTCCAGTTTTCACCGGGATTCTCCAGTATTTTACAGTTATATCCCGCTATCATCCCGTAAAGGTATTTTCCCGTTTTTTCTCCCGTAGTTTCAGTCCTTCTCTGAATGGTGGCAAATAAACATTAAAAAGCTAATCCAACCTATTCGCAACACATACCGCCAAACCACCAGGGGCCGCCCCTTGCTCTTAAATGTGAGTCTGTTCTGTGCTTTCGCTTTGTTTAGGCTGGAAAACACTTTGAAATAAATATAAAAATGGCAAGATTCCCTTTCCTTTTCAAAACAGGTGCTGTCTCCCCTTCATATGCAATCCTCAAAACAGTCATATAGTGGTACATGAATGTCAGCTGACTCGCTCCATAGTGATAAATAGACGCTGTTTGTCAAACGGATTCTGTACACGCGAGTTGAAGCGGAGTGAAAGTCTGGCTTTTGGGTGCGTGTTTGAACAGACATATACAAAGAATTAATAATAATAATATCTAAAGATGTTGACCTTGGTGAGGTTTTTTTTCAAACACAACTAATTTCATCCTAAATGAGCATAAAAGTTAGAAAAAGCATTTGAATGCTTTCAATATGACATTAGATGTGTGCATTTTTAAAGTGAAACTGATATAATCAAACGAAAGAAATCTAAATAAATAAGAGATCCATTCGTTGTGTAAGTTATACAGTGAAGAAACAGCTAATGAGATTTGATAACTTGATTCTATTTCATTATTTACATTTACATTTAGTCATTTAGCAGACGCTTTTATCCAAAGCGACTTACAAATGAGGACAAGGAAGCAATTTACACAACTAAGAGCAACAATGAATAAGTACTAAAGGCGAGTCTAAAAAGTCTAAGATGGGAAGTATTAGTGTTTTTTTTTTTTTTTTTTTTTTTTTTTTGTACAGTTAGTGTGATATTCAAAGAGGCAATTGCAGATTAGGAAGTGAAGTGGAGACTAAATAGTTGAGTTTTTAGTCGTTTCTTGAACGTAGCGAGTGACTCTGCTGTTCTGATGCAGTTAGGGAGTTCATTCCACCAACTGGGCAGATTGAGCGTGAGCGTTCGCGAAAGTGATTTCTTCCCTCTTTGGGATGGAACCGCGAGGCGACGTTCATTCACAGAACGCAAGTTTCTGGAGGGCACATAGATCTGCAGAAGTGAGAGCAGATAAGAAGGAGCTAGGCCAGAAGTCACTTTGTAGGCAAACATCAGAGCTTTGAATTTGATGCGAGCAGCAACTGGCAGCCAGTGCAAACGGACTAGCAGCGGAGTGACATGTGCTCGTTCAGGTTCATTGAAGACCACTCGTGCTGCTGCATTCTGGAGCAGTTGAAGAGGCTTGATAGAGTTAGCTGGAAGCCCAGCTAGTAGAGAGTTGCAGTAATCCAGTTTGGAGAAAACAAGAGCTTGAACAAGGAGTTGAGCTGCATGTTCAGATAAGAAGGGTCGGATCTTTCTGATGTTATAGAGTGCGAATCTGCACGATCGAGCAGTTATAAAAGCTATTCATTTAATTAAGCTGAACTGTTTGCTTATGGGCTGCTAATGTTTATTATTAATTTTTTCTTTTGTAAATAATAATAATAAAATATATTACTGACCATTTAACTTTTTATTTATAATGAAACAGCTCCAAATGAACATATTTATTAATTTGGGGATTTTTTAAAGTCGGGGGAATTCCTCATTATGGTGGGCATATCACTTATTTATTTACATCCCAGTGTTGACAGGTATACCCTAATAATAACTCCTGTATAGCAGTCCCACAACATTCTGACTCTCGATGACGCTCAAATACATACCTGTCAACATTGGGATGTGAAAATAAGGGATATGTCCACCATAAGGAATCCCCTCTTCCCCCTCATCCTCCTTTAAAAAATCCCCAAATTACTATGTTCATTTGGAGCTGTTTCATTGTAAATAAACAGTTAAATGGTCAGTAATATGTTTTATTATTATTTACAAAAGTAAAAATAAATATATACATACCAGCAAATACATTAGTAAACACTTCAGCTCATTAAAGTTAATAGCTGTTATAATGAAACAGAATCAAGCTATCTCATTAGCCGTTTCTTCACTGTATAACTTACACATTCTGATTAGAGAGCAACGAAGCAACAAATGAATCTCTTATTTATTTACATTTTTTCGTTTGATTACATTAAATAACAGTTGTCACTTTAAAAATGCACACATCTAACAATATAATAAAGGCATTCGAATGCTTTACTAACTTTTATGCTCATTTAGGACAAAATGAGTTGTGTTTGAAAAAAAAAACACACCAAGATCGACATCTTTAGATGTTATTATTATTAATTCTGTGTATATGTCTGTTTAAACACACACCCAAAAGCCAGACTTTCCCTCCGCTTCAAATCATGTGTACAGAATCTGTTTGGGAAACAGCGTCTTTATATCACTATGGAGCGCGTCAGCTGACAGTCACGCATGACTGTTTTGAGGATTGCATAGGAGGGGTGACGGCACCTGTTTTGAGAAAGAAGGGGAATCGCGCCATTTTTATATTTATTTCAAAGTGTTTTCTTGCCTAAACAAAGCGAAAGCACAGAACAGACTCACATTTAAGAGCGTGGGGCGGCCCCTGGTGGTTCGGCGGTATGGGTTGCGTATAGGGAGGCTCGACTTTTTAAAGAGCCCATATTATACATGAAATAGGGTCATATCTTGGTTGTAAGAGTCTCCAACAACAGTCTAATATGCATGCAAGGTCAAAAAACACTTTCATGGTCTTATAATCTGCATTTATTTTTACCTAATTATCCCAGCGACTCCTGTATGAATCGTCCAGTGATTCATTTGTTCCCAAACCCCTCCTTAGCGTGAAGCTAATCTGCGCTGATTGGACCGATGACAGTCTGTCGCGATTGGTCGACTGCCTTCAGTCAGAGAGGGAAATGGCCAATAGCTAATCAGCAATTTAAAAAGTAATCACAGTTCATACACGCTCGATAGTGTAGGCGTGGATTTTAGCTGCCACACTATGGCGAGTGGATAGTGCTACGGATAACCGAACGAAGGAGACAGTCGTGTACTCGCCATACCACACACACACACAAAAACACACACACACCTCCGGATGACAACGCTCCCGCTTCCGCCTGCACCCGCCAGGTTTTAGCCTGAGAACCCGCTCCGTTTTCTGCCCGCCGCGCCCGGTCCCGCTAGAGCGGAGAACACAACCAAAAATCACCCAGTATACAGTCCAGACAGCCAAGCAGACAGCCAAGCTGTCTGTATAAACACATACACACAGCACAAAGCTCGTTCGTTCGCTCTCTCTCTCTCTCTCTCTCGCTCTCTCTCATACGCTCTCTCATACCAAGCAGACTCTCTCTTTCTAATTCACATAGCAATATCCGTGATATTGCTAGACAGCCCGCTCCCGTCCCAAATTAAACCCGTTACCGACCGCTCCCGCGATTTATTCGGAAATTTATTCCCGCGGCTGTCCCCGCGCCAGATTTCTGCGGCGCGGGAATAAATTTCCGAATAAATCACGGGAGCAGAACTCTAGCACGGAGCTCCATAAACAAACAGCACGCGTCGCGTTTTTAACGTGACTTTGCACGCGATAAGATAATATATCCAGTTAACCTGATACAGTACACGCGGTTACAAGTAACAAATCACAACTAAATACATTTGCAAGCTAGAGTAAACGAGGCAACAACTTTAACCGCACGTACTTACACTTGAGAAATGGAAGAAACCCATCCTGACGTCCATCAGTTACTCTTTACTGATCCTTCCTTTAACAAACTCAGATGAAGTATTCTTTGTAGCATGTAGCTTCCAGAAGTTTCCAACTGCTTGGTTATAATGCTGAGGTTTCATCTTTGGGTAGAGACTCAATATATCCATCTGCAGTGTGACTTCAATCAACCGGCATGTTTGTGTGTGTGTGTTTGTGGGTGTGTGTATGTGTGTGTCTGGGTTTCTGCGTCAGAGGGCGGGGCCTCAGGTTTGAAATCTCCCGGGTTTGCGCGTGCACGTGAATAACTTGGTTTCGTTCGTACGTCATGGCGAAACACCTAATGAATCGTGATCAAGGCGACTCGTTTGAAGCACTATGAGTCGACTCTTTTATAGATGAATCAACAGTTTTAAACACTGTACACTAACAGATTTAAGCCTTAGCTGGATACTCCACTTCACTTAGAGCTGTGTTACACACTACATGGAGGGGAATTTCCAAAAACCCATAATATGGGCTCTTTAATGTTTCTTGCAACACTGAAAATACAGGAGAAATAATTTTACAGGATGATAGCGGGTTACAACTGTAAAATACGGGAGAATCACGGGAAAAACGGGAGGGTTAACAGGTATGCTCAAATACCCTGTCAGAAAGTCTAGTGGCTGAGAATGAGCTTTTTACAGTGTCTGCTATAATGTTAATGCTGTTTTCTTGTGTTTACATGGATGAATATGGCTACTGTGTAAATGCGCAGTATAGTTATGATCTTATAGCCACATTAGATGGTTACGATAACATAATATAAGACTTCAGTGATTTCCTGAAGATAAATACCAAAAAATAAAGCAACTGGAATAACTACAGCAGTCATGATCGTCTGATCTCATATGAAACAAGAGATCGAGATGACATATGATGACGTGTGCAGGTGCTGTAGTGCTGTCCCATTTCTTAGGGGTAAATTTTGAAGCCCTTCCACTTCACACTCTTTTTAAGGGGAAGGGGAAGGGGTAGTACAAAAATAGAATTGGGATTGGGCCTTATTGGCTTTATTTCACCCCAATTTGACTGTGGACACACTATACCTACACACAGTTCTGTTCAAACAGCTTCCATAAGAGAATTTTCATCATAGGTGCCCTTTAATGCAATTAGTTTTGTTTTGTAGTTATGAGTAGATGGATAACTTATACATTTTTTTTTTATCTCTAGGGGTGGAAACGGGCTTCCAAATCAAATCATACGTAGTTATGATGTTAAGACTTTCAATTCAAACATTTCTGTAGGAGTCTGGCAATTTGTAATGAGACTAATGATAGTGTAACGACTGTGTAACACATTATACACATTTTAGATTAAGGAACTGAAATGATTAAAGAGCACGATTGACCTTGGAGTGCAGTTCGTGGATGAGGTAAGACATCGGCTGGCCGTGAATATTTCCAGTCGGTGTGGTTAAAGGTGTGTTGATGTCTGCGTGTGCGTCCACCCATAAAACACTCAGCTCATGTCTGTATGCAGCATGACCAGAGATTGAGCCGATCGCCAGGCTGTAAGAAACACACACACACTACCGGTCAAGTGTTAACCTAGATAATGAATGCAATCTGTTCACTTCTAAAATCATAATGTAATATCATCTAATATCGATCTCGAAAAATTGCTGCTTTATATTTTTGTATAAACCATATCAGTCAAAAGCACCACTGAAATGTATTCATTCTTAATTATCACGTGAAAAGAAACATATATATTCTAAAATAAAAAGATTTCATTTAAAATAAATCGAAAGAGAATGTGAGGTTCAATAAAGATGAATGTTATTTTTAAGAGACTGTGATCATCTTAAATATGTAACATCTGGATGAATGACCTGTGATCTCCTCCCAGCATCACGCATGTGTTTCCATCACTCTTGATCTTTTGCACAGCCCCTGAAAGCAGCTCATTTGCTCGTCCCACCGCTCTCGGGGTCTTGAGTCTCCCGATGGACTCGTCGTTGGGAAGGTTTTCAAATGTCACATTCCCATAATCCTTCACCACACAACCTGGAAAAGGAGAGAGGTCTTCAAATAGAGGGCTCACGAAAATACTGTCATGGTTTGTATATAATAAGCAGTGGTAAAAAGAGTACTGAAAAGTCATACTCAAGAACCATCCCAAAACATAGTGCAAGTGGAGTAAAAGTAGCTGTGATAAATGCATTTACACTCACCGGCCACTTTATTAGGAACACCTTACTAGTCTCAGGTTGGACCTGCTTTTGTCTTCAGAACTGCCTTATTCCTTTGTGGAATAGATTCAACTAGGTGCTGGAAATATTCCTCAGAGATTGTGGTCCATATTGGAATGATAGCATCACACAAGTGCTGAAGACTTGTAGGCTGCACATCCATGATGTGAATCTCCTGTTTTTCCACATCCAAACGGTGTTCTATTAGATTGAGCTCTGGTGACTGTGGAGGCCATTTGAGTAGAGTGAACTCATTGTCATGTTCGAGAAACCAGTCTGAGATGATTCACGCTTTATGACATGGTGTGTTATCCTGCTGGAAGAAGCCATCAGAAGATGGGTACACTGTGGTCATAAAGGGATGGACATGGTCAGCAACAATTCTCAGGTAGGCTGTGGCGTTGACACGATGGTCAATGGTAACGTGCCCAAAGTGTGCCAAGAAAACATCCCCTACACCATTACACCACCACCACCAGCCGGAACCGTTGATACAAGGCAGGATGGATCCATGCTTTCATGTTGTTGATGACAAAATCTGACTCTACCATCCGAATATGACAGGAGTGGCTCCGGGTGTGGTCTTCTGCTGCTGTAGCCCATCCGCCTCAAGGTTAGGCGTGTTGTGCATTCAGAGATGCTTATCTACATACCTCAGTCTGGCCATTCTTCACCGACTTCTGGCATCAACAAGGAATTTGCGCCCACAAAACTGCCGCTCACTGGATATTTTCTCTTTTTCGGACAATTCTCTGTAAAGCCTAGAGATGGTTGTGCGTGAAAATCCCAGTAGATCAGCAGGTTCTGAAATACTCAGACCAGCCTGTCTGGCACCAACAACCATGTTCAAAGTCACTTAAATCCCCTTTCTTCCCCATTCTTATGCTCGGTTTGAACTGCAGCAGATCGCTTTGACCATGTGTACATGCCTAAATGCATTGATTGGCTGATTCGAAATTTGCTTTAACGAGCAGTTGGACAGATGTACCTAATAAAGTGGCCAGTGAGTATAAATTTAGTCATTTAGCAAACACTTTGTCCAAAGCAACTTACAATCAAGAAGGCATTCAGCAGTTCAACAAGAAGAGAAAAAACATAAGAAGTGATAATTATACAAAGCAACTGTAAGTGCTCAGAGAATTACTGCTAGAGTAAGGAGGGGCGAGAGGATGTTTTTTTTACAGGTGGTTTGTCGGGCCAAATCGCCTGAAGCACACTTCATAAATGCACATTTTTTTTAGAAATACGGAGAGATTGTCTGGTAAAAATTTACAAAACTGCTGTTTGTGTAGGTTAAAGCATTTTCCACAGGTGGTTTGTCAAGCCCACTTACCTGTGTGAGGCACACTCAGAATTTTATAATGCTTTGATTATGCACATTACTACTCAATGTATGATTAAAAGTAGCCTTTAAAAGTTATTTAAGTGAGTAGTAAGTATTATTCCCTGCAAATTAAAAAAAATAG